CCTCCGGGGCAGGCGGGAATCGAACTCATGCGGAAGCGGCTTTAGATTCTCAGTGCTTTAACCCGCTGCGCCACCAGGGAGGGCCCTATTTATTATTATTTTTTTAACAGTGAAGTAATTTAATTTAAAAGCGAGAGGGGAAGCCACACAGCCATCCTGCAGTTTGCCTGTGTGCACTTAGTGTTCTGTCTGTGTGCGCCAACTGCCCGCTAAGTGCCTACTACGTGCCAGGCACAGATCAGACCCGGCCTTTTTCTCATCTGCATAGTGTTCCATTGTACAGTGGCTCCCTGTTTCATTTAACCGGGGCGTTTGGAGCCTTTCCAGTTTTCTTCAGACAATGCTTCAGTGAACGTCCTTGTACATATATTTTTGTGTCCCTCTGTAAGCAATTCTGAAGGAGGGGACGTCATCGCATTGTGTATTTTGTAACTCTACAGTCAACTTGCTAACCAGAGATGTGAACCGGTTCCTGCTTCCATCTAGAACACGTGAGAATGGTAGTTTCTATAATCCCCTAAAGGCTGATGGAGACAGAAGAGCTCTCTGAATTGAGCTCCCAAGCTGGTTGGGATGTGCAGCCTCGAGAACTCAGGCATTTTCCTGTGGCTCACCCTGGGCACCGGGGTGAAGTCCAGACTCCTCAGTGTGGCGTGTGGGTCCTTGTGACTCCTGCTGCCTTTTCCAGCCTCACCTCTTGCTCCATGTGTTCGGACTGGAACACTCATTGTGGCCTGCCCGCCCCTCCAGAATGCCTGTTCTCAGTCTCCTTCCTCCCGGTCCTCCAGGGCCACTTTCCTCAGCGCTGCCTCCTATGATCCCCATTGCCTGGATTCTTTCTTCTCTTTCTGTGTCTCCTCTTTATCTGCCCACATTCCCCCTTGAGTGGGAAGCAGTGGTGTGTGGTGGAGGACCTCTTCAGCCTGACTAGATTGATGTCCAGAAGGGCCTGGGGCAGGTGACCATAGCTGGTGGGGTTGGGGGCAGAGACTTCCTGTTTCCTAGGACCAGGCCAGGCTGTTTTCAGACATGCAGACTGATTAAATCCTCAGCAACTACCTACCCACTGAGTAGGTGAGGAAATGGAGGCATAGAAGAAGAAAGTAGCTTATAACAGTAGAGTGAAAGTTAAATCCCGGTGTCCAGTTTGCAAATTCTCGATACCGTCATTGAACTGGACTGCTGTAGATCTGGGGTGCAAAGGGAATTTGAAAGTTGAGGAGCAGGGTCAGGGAGAATAGAAGCAAAGCAAAGGAGCCCAGAGGAGTGGGGGAGAGACTTCAGTGCTTGCTCTTCAGGGAAAGCCGCTAGATAGGAAACAAATGGAAAACAACCCCCTCAAATGACCAGACCCCTCACATGAACCAACAAACCACTACAAGAAGCAATACATGCTGTGATTTAAGAGCTGGGAGTAAATCCTGAAATCATCAGCTAGTGGATGAAGAAGTAGTTGCTCCTCGGGAGAGATACATGGGGTTGAAGTGGAACAGGTATCTGTGCAAACCCCTGCCTTTCTCCTGCCCTGGCGCCCCAGGCTGGTGCCTGCCCGGTGCTGCCCAGCTGGGTTTCCACCCAGATCTGTACTGCCTGGGTTCCAGTCCTGGCTGTTTGTCTTCCGGGGTGTGTTCCACTTGCTTGGCTCTTCTGCCTCTCCATCCCCCTCTGTAAAACCCAACTTGTCCCTAGAACCCC